GCCTGTTTCTGCAAGGCCTCGAGGAAGTAGTCAACGATCCTGCGCCACCTCGATGATCTATAAGATACATATGTACATACGGTTCGCAGACGTACTACAAGACCACCGATCGAAGAAATGATTTTTAAGCAACTCGTTGTTTGTTCGTTCCAGTTCAGAGCAAAGTGAGATGCTCCGAGCAGTGGATGGAGGTTGACATCGTGAGGAGCAGCCCACGGGCGAGCATATATCTGCAGCAGCTAAAGGACTTTCCAGGTAAAGATAGATCCGTGTTCCTGTCACCGATGGACTCTCCGTATTTAACGACGTGGTTGTTCGTGAAATATAAACGGGAAGCGAAGAAGCATATTTTACTCGCACCGTTCGCGAAACGTTATCCTATTTTTCTTTGCAGACGAGGCTTGCAAGCCCCGGTTAAGCAACGGCGTCGCTACATTCCGGTTGTCGCTTCTAGAAGAGGACATACTGCGATGTGGTATCACGAAAGTAGTTAACAAAGTCACGGTAAGAAGAGATTACCGAACTTCAGGGGTAATTAAAATAATCGAGCGCGACCGAGGAGCTTTCGAACATTCATCGTTAGTATATCGTGGATTCAAATTACATGTGGGAATGATACACAGGGTCAGAAGGTGTACTTTCATCGAATAATCGTGGAGGAACCCGCGGACTCTAGCAAGCACACGTTCACCGTCAAGTGCGTGATCACCGAAGTCCTCGTGAAGCCTGCGGTCTCGGCGATCGCCTCCAATCACACCACGGTTCGACGCAGCGTCTTCCCGGCTGGTTTCCAAGAACCCGAGTAAGTCGGACTTTTACCGTGTCTTCGTTTAAAGAAACCTCTGCGTATTTGCGAAGGTCTGCGCCGCACAGTGATTCAGAATCAAAATTTAGCACCTCATACGATTATACCAAATTTCCAATGTTAATAATAAGTTGATTTGAATTGTTTTGGAAGATCAAAGAAATTCATTTTTTACCATATAACCTGCTAAATTGAGATTCTGGAGACCACTGTGCGCTGTCGTAACCAGCGGCGAAACGCTAGTTCCACGCGTGGCGAGGCGATTGCACGCGAGCAACCGTTGCGAGTTCCTTCTCTCGTCGAGGACGAGTACGTTTAATAGATTCAAGTAGACAGTAAGTAGCCCGAGGTGGAGTAGTTAATGTACTTCCTTGGAACCTTCTTCTTGCCGCCCCCGAGTTACGACTCGAACGATAGGTGTGAAGCGCCTTGAATTTTCTGGGTCGATGCAGGGGAATGAGACCGTTTCTGATCAGACAAAGCGCTCGCTTATGAACCGAATCGATTGTTCGGACTGTGTGCGCGCATACTCTGAACAGCTGTATGTAACAGCCAGTTCAGGCGATACGTTTTTCTTTTTTTACCGATTCGGTAATTTTGTCGAAGCGATAATGTAGCAGCGTTCATACGATTCCGTATCTTCACCGAAAATCCAACTCTGCCGCGTATGCTTACTTCCTTTGTTAGTACGTATTCGTTTGTACTATTAACTTTTTAATAACCAATGATCGGCAGTTTAAGCCTCCTGAAGAGTGACCTTGATAACGTATGTCAAGGTCAGGGTCATCGGGTGTGGATGCTTTTCGGATAATCACCCCGGCAAAATTACCGAATCGGTCAGAAAATGAAATGAACTCCAGTAAAAGGAATTATAATACGGTGACGCGAGTTCGTTCGGAACGGTTGAGTTGTCTGAAATAATCTTTAACACCGAACGTTTTCTACTGGAGTGATTGGCCGGTGATCGTGATCGCGGTGGTTGATTCATGGTTCCACGCACCATTTATTTATCGAGTCTACTCCGGAGCAGGTGCTGGAAAACCTGAAATGTAATTTTAGCCTCGAACGCGTCGCGTCCCAGAGTGCCTGGCCTCCGTTCCTTTTTCCTCTCGGTGGATAAAACTCGCGTCACCAGTCATTCGTATTCCCGGTGTATTCGCGGCAAAAAGCTCCATAGCAGCGCGCACCCGTTCAAGGTGGAATAACTTCTTAGTCATTTAGAACATGTAAATGTCATCGAAGAGAGACGCTAACGATCCGACGGAAACATGCTCGCGGGCTAGATTTCTGAACATTAAAAGGGGCCCTTTTTTTCCCGATTCGAATAAACCTTCTTTCGTTTCACGTTCATTTTCAACCGATCGAATTTCTTGATTCGCGACAAGAAAGACATTTATTACTTCTAATTTCATTTAATGCAATTAAAATGTATCACCATCGCTACTTCCCAGTAAACACATGCCAAATTGTGATTTAACGAAGGACACTGGACGTGTATTTGCATACTCAGCTGGTCCCGCCAGTGCTGCGCCAGGAACGCGGTAATGTAATTTTAACTCGGTACAGAATGGACGGCTGTCAACCGTGCGGGATCTTTCTTCCTGCTTCCCGTCGACGAAAGTCGTCGTCTTCGTCCAGGCGACGACATTCTTCGAGCAGGTATACTCCGGGGACACGGTTCACGAACGGCGCTGACTCGCCGGCAATTTTTTTTTCCCCCGTTCGCGTTCCTGTATTTGCGGTTAAGCTAATTTATTGGCACTAATCGATCGTAGCTCGTGATCCCCGTTCCACGTGCGGATTCCACGGATGGTCGATGTCGCCTCTCAACCAGGAAGCCGTAAAATCTTTATTGTTGAATTATCACGCGGATATCTCGCGCGCGCGGTGCCGATCCGCCGGGGTCGCGAGTCACGCAAACCACGAGGGAAAATTCTTTCCTCGATCTTGATAACTGTTTCTGCTTCCACGAACTCGATGGAATTGCATGCTCGCCACCCGATCGGATGCATCCATCGTGATTAGGAATCGCCACCGCGCGTCATCGCGCGACCCTCTCGATCGAGACGGATGTGTCGAGAGGACCACACGAAATTCTTTGGATAACACCTCTATAGGATCAACGACGACGAACACACATCGAAAACACAACAACTGTATCGTCCCTTCGTTTGTTTTTGTTTTTTTTTTGTTCATCTTTGCGTGGATGTTCCACGTGACAGACGCTTGATGTACCGTTTCTAGCCGGTGATTCTGCAGAAAAAGAAACGTAATTCGGGTCGACGGGAGATTCGATGACTTTCGAAAATAGCCCCGATCCTGCGCGATTCGTTCCCTATATTTTTCAACGTGTTCTTGCGGCCCGAAAGGAGGTTAATTCCCCTCCTAACTGTTCAACGAAACATGTAGATTGTCGTTGCTTCGCGATTCATTGTTTTTTTCTTCTCGCCCGGAAATTGCCGTTCGCCAGATGGCTAGACGGGCAATCTTCTGTCGTCGAGCTGTTGTTAAAAAAAAGCAACAACGGTCTACAGAAATTTAATACGCATTATTTACGTTTGTTTCACGCGTCAGCATGGTCGAGATCAGGGACGAGATCTCGGAGTCGGCCCCGGTACCGATTTTAGGAGTGGGCGTCCGACAGGGTGGTACGTTGGTCACCGGTGAATTGAACGTAAGCCCGGGCACACCTTTGCAGATGGAGATCTTCTTGGACAACCACTCGGCGCCGATTTATGGACTGCTGGTCAGCTATATGCTGGTCACCGACACCAAGTCGCAAGAGGAGACGATCATCATTAATGGGTAATTGGGCTCGTAGCCTTGGTATGTAGACGGGGACAAACCTTTCACACGGTTTTCTTTGTGTATCTTCAGTTGCTCCGTGGATCCATACCTGTTCGAGAACTTCAACACCGTGGACGGTGACTTCCTGACGGCGAAATTCCGGGCTTTCAAGTTCCCGGAGAGCACTTACGTTCAGTTCCGTGGAACCGTGAACGTCTGCTTGGACAAATGCCAAGGGGTAGGTCGATCCCGGAATCTCGTAATTGAGTCGTCATCGTGTACGAATTGTTTTTTCTATCGACAGATCGAGTGCATCAATGGCCAAGTAGGTTTCGGTAGAAAGAAGAGAGCTATAGAGGTCTCGAGCAGCGACAAGAACAAGATCTTCGAGGTGACTATGTCCACGTTTATCAAGGTGGACTTTGAGGAAGATGCCATTGTAGACAAAGGTCAGTTGCCTGTTCTGTCTCGGCCATTCTTAGTTTTCTGCTTTTCGACCACCGTCTAACAAACTCACCGTGTTCCACAGCTTTGTCGGAACTGTACATCAGAAAGGGTAAGAACAGAACGAAGGCCAGAGCTGTGATCGCCGAAGAGGTCCGAGAACAGGCTGTTCCGACCACGATCAGGACGGAAGAGAGTGTCCTTGCCCTGCTCTGTCTTTGCAATATCTTGTAAGTGTTTACGAGAAAAGATCCGAGAAACGTATACGATCGCCGATTGTAAATAGAAAAAGCAGCTTGAGAACACCGGCAGAGGGTTCGAGCGGATCGTTGAAACGAAAAAACCGAGTTTCCAGGGTCGGACATTAGTGTAATTCTTTTTTCCTTCATACGTAGAGAGACACGGATGACTATTTGAACGTGATTACGAAACGAAATGAAAGTCGGACGATTCTCCGTAACAGACACTGTAACGACACCAACGATCGCGAAGCTTCGATTCTGGGTTAAAGAGAAACGTGCTCAAGGTACTTCTCCGCTCTGCGACCGCCGAATTTTCGTTCATTCCGTTCCCCATGTTCGACCCGCGTCTTTCCTCCTCATGTTTCTAGTTGTACACTCGCGATTAACCGTCCGACGATACCGGATGGCTGTACGCCCGAAGAAAATCGGCCTTTGCGAGCGGAGAATGCCGAAGACCTAGTCGCCGCGATCAGCTGTAACATCGCGACACGACTTTAAGCGAAGTTAAGCAATCACACAGAGAGGTAATTAATTGCTGCTACAATATCCGAGCGTGATTATAACGGGACGCGCCTAGTGTAAAATAGCTATTAATAAAGGGAGAACGAACGCGTCTCGATACGCGTGCACTCGCGCTTGTTATTTCTCGCCTACGTGGAGAAGCATCCTTGCTTCGTAGTCGCGGCGAGGGGAACAATGAAGAAGGCTAATGAAAACGCGCATTAAAACATAAAAAAAACAAATACGCTTGTATTTGGAATGTTTAACACTCATATATACATGATGGTTCCGTATAAAAAATATATACCAATGTATTTCTTTGGCTTGTAATAATATCGAATAGGCAAGGCCATTCACGAATCTCCGATTATGTACTCAAATGGTTAACAGTCTTCAAATCTGCCTACATTCGGAAAATTCCGAACTTAGTCTCTGGGATCGGTGCGTTTAACGCCGCCGATAAGCTGAGACCGAGTACCATCCGGGTGTCAACGGGATCGATCACGCCGTCATCCCACAGTCTAAAATGATAATACAATTAAACGGCTCTTCGTTTCTAACCCTGTAAAGTAAGTGCAACTCACCTGGCACTGGCGAAGTAAGGGTGGCTTTCGTGCTCAAACTTCTCTATGATCGGCTTCTTGATCTCTGCTTCCTCTTCCGCTGTTAACTGTTAAGATTATGAAATTTTATTACGCGCCTAACTAAAGAAATTGCAAAATCCGTACCACTTTTCCTGCTCGTTCGTGTTGTTCCCTGGCAATTTGAGCCATCACCCCCGCAGCCTGTTCTCCTCCCATCACAGCTATTCTGGCGTTTGGCCAAGAATAGAGAAATCTCGGGGAATATGATCGACCGCACATCCCTGGATACAAATCGATTAATGTGAACTCGACATAAACATGATCGACGATAACTTTGTATTCGGAATATCGAACACCTTAAGCAACACCTGTTTACAAAATCGTACCGTAATTTCCTGCCCCGTACGAACTCCCGATGAGCACCGTGATTTTGGGCACCTGAGCGCAGGCTACAGCATTCACCATTTTTGCCCCGTTTTTTGCGATACCACCGGCTTCTGCGTTTCTCCCCACCATAAACCCTATAGTTTCGTAGCAAAAGCGTTACAACACAAGTGTACTTTACGCGAGTAAACCGTACTTTTAACAGATTTCAAGATACGCGCCTGTAATGTTCTGTAAGAAGATAAGAGGAATCTTTCTTTGAGCGCATAACTGTACGAAATGCGCACCCTTGAGGGAGCTCTCCGAGAAGAGCACACCGTTGTTTGCAACTATTCCCACCGGGTAACCGTAGATTCTCGCGAACCCAGTGACCAGCGTTTCTCCGTACTGTGCCTTGAATTCGCGGAATTTGGACCCGTCCACGATTCTAGCGATCACTTCCCTCACGTCATACTGCCGTCTCAAATTTCCGCCGACTATACCATAAATTTCGTCTACCGCGTGTACCGGTACCTCTATCTCTTTGCTTACGTTCACGTTCATGGGTCTTTGTCGATTCAAGTCCTGCACGATCTGCCGAGTGATGTACAGAGCGTGATGGTCGTCCAAGGCAAAGTGATCGATCACTCCCGAAGTCCTGAATAACAGAAGCCGGTTACTTTACCGCCATGCGAACGCGACAATGTTAACGTACTTGTTAATTACCGACAATGAAGCTCCGCACCGCCTAAATCTTCCGCAGAAATGTCTTCGCCGGTGGCAGCTTTCACAAGGGGCGGTCCGGCCAAAAATACGGTACCATGTTTTTTCACGATCACGTTCTCGTCAGCCATTGCCGGCACGTACGCGCCTCCTGGAAGTTGGTCGAGTAATATTGTCAACAGATAGCACGTCAGATCGATGGATTTTGATATGTATATCGACGATTTCACGGTGAAATCCGTTTTACGTGGAATATGACAGTCGTGGTCAAACCTGCCGTACAGCTGCCCATGATTACTGCGATTTGTGCGATCCCCTTTGCGCTCATATTTGCCTGATTGTAAAAACATCTGCCAAAGTTCATTTTATCCGGAAACGTATCGGCTTGTTTAGACAAGTTCGCGCCACCACTGTCCATTAAATAAATGCAAGGCAAATTATTCTCTTCCGCGATCTCTTGCGCCCTCAGCTGTTTCTTCGCTGTTATGGGGTAGTAAGTGCCGCCTTTTACCGTTGCATCGTTCGCGATTATTACACACTCAGTCCTAGCAATCGATCGTGATTTAAAAAACAAAATCCTTGCGCGTATGTTTTGTAGAAAAAGGACATTGTTTATTATTACCCTGCTACTCGACCGATACCCGTGATAAGACCACCAGCTGGCACCTCCTCTTTCTCGTACAGTTTGTAGCCGGCCAACTGCGAGAATTCAAGGAAAGGTGACGTTTTATCGAGGAGCGTGTCAATTCGTTCACGCGCCAGAAGCTTCCCCTTACTCGTATGTCTCTCTTTCGCTTTTTCTCCTCCGCCCTCCACGATCTTCCCAACCGTTTCCTTCAGTTCCTTTACCATGGTCTCCATCTGCACGTAATTCTCCTAAAGAAGTTTTCTACAGTTCAATCTCAAGAACCTACTGATTGGAAAAGTAATGAGAACGCAAGATTTATGGTAAGGATGCGTGCTGTAAGAAATGCAATGGGCATGCGCGTTTCAGAGCATTTATAACGCCCGCCTTGGAATCATGCCAGTCGCATGAACGTGCACCGAGGCGCGATCTTATCGTTCTAAACTTTGACTTGTAATTTGCGCGATAACACCGTCGACGTGGCGAAATGTTACGTTCCGTTTTAGAAACAGCATCAGAAAAATTGAATAAAAAATCGAATCCAACCGAAACACTAACGAGAGCTCGATTATTTACGGAGAAAAATTAGGAAGACTATTATTCTAACCTGATAGTCTGCTGAACTGAAGTCCTGCGAGGAGCCAATGATAATGGCTTCATCGTGAAATTTTCTCGTGATAAACCGAAAATGTTTCAGCAACAAACTACTCTTCCTTAACATCGTATTCTGGCAATTTAGAATCCAACTTTTCGAGCTCACTTACTACCCTACTGTACCCTATGTCTGTAGCGTATTCACACATTCGCGCAGCTCGCGGAGCCCCCCTGGCCCAGACGCCAACGAAGTCAGTGACGCAACCATAGGCATATACATATAGTAGCCTTCGCGGTCTTATAGTAGGGATGAAACGTAGCATTCGTCTTGACCAAGAATTCCACGTGTAGCTTAAACAACGTAGATTAATCCTATGTCATTCAAAATAACAATAAACGACCAGAAAACTGTTAAAATCACATTTAATTACGGCATAACACTATTTTTTTGACCGGTGACGCCACCCGTGGCGAATCGCTGAAACTACTAGCCAATTTTACGCTAGCAGTTTCAGCGATTCGCGACGGATGGCGCCACCGGTTGAAAAATTGTGGTATTCCGCAATTAAATGCGATTTTGACAGTGTTCTGGCTGTTTATTGTTATTATCAATAAGAGTGGGTTAATCTACGTACTTTCAGCTACAAATTGAGTGCTTCACCTAACCGAAAGCTGTCCGTATAATGGTGTACGAGCTGTTCGAAGTGAACTAACCGGGGTACGCATGACGAGATACAGTATCAACTGTTGCAAACAAATGTGATTTTAACAATCTTCTTGTAATTACTAGTGTCCAGCCGTTAGAGAATAGTAATCTACGTTCTTTAAGCAGTGCTTCTAATGCAAAACGAAGAAGAACTATGCCCGTTTATAAATTTACATATTTATAATTTATATGGGAGTATGAATGTTCAAGAAGAGGTAAAGAAGTTTCATATTATGTTATTCCCATTCATTACAATTTCCCTTGCGGGAATGCCTTACCGTCATGAGCCGTCTCGTAGCGGGATTCCGGGAATCGGGTGACATCCCGGCGTGCGAGTGAGAGCGGTAGAGCGAGCCGCGGTATCGGTGCTCTCCGTCGGTGTTGACGCGTGCA